TTTTCGGCAGTACCTTTGGCAGCGATTCACGAGGTTGGAACCAGTTTAGGCTGTAGGAAAAGTCACAGGGAACCTTGGCGGCTCCACCGGACCTTTACCTATTCGTAATAAAAAATTAAAAAAAACAAACATCCACGGCCATCTCTCGTGGAAGTGTGTGTTTGCATTTATTGTACTACTTGAGTCATAGACTATCTAGCACATTGGGCTCCTCTCTGACCCAGGCCACACCTTGTACAGTGCTCCTATCCTCTTTTGTTACTCAAAAGATCATTGATATATTGCCCGTGATGAATAGCCATTCAGCTCAGTGTTTACCCGTGGAATTCGGCCACCTTTTCCACGGAACCTTCTACCCCCTCCCCCCCCCCAAAAAAAATGGTAGCAATGGAAACTGCGTGCGCGGGAAAAAGTCTCAAAAAACCTGCAGCCCCAGCCAGGCGAGGCCTAGACACCGGCACCACATGAGGTGCGCATATTCATCTATATCTCCCTTCTTTGTAACAGTCGAGGTCGACTTGATCCAGTCCACCAACACCGTATCGGGTGCTGGGTCCGCTCCGGAAACTCATCGGATGGCTTTTCCTCCATGATCAAGGGTTGGTGATGAGTAGGGCTCCGACCCTACCATCTGATCTGATCGTGGTTAGCTTCATCATAATGGTGATAGGGGAATGTGTTGAGAGATGAAGATGATACAGACCGCGAAAGCGATTGGGAGTCCTCGTCGAAGTGAGGACTTTGTTACTCAATCTCGGCTCTGCAGACTCTACAGTGATAGCTGGAGGTTCGTAGGGGACACCACTGACAGGTCTTGAGTGTAGTCCCCCTCTCTCATGGAAGTGCTGCTGTCAAAAGCAATGGATAAAGTACGAGATGAGAGGTAATTAGATCGCAAGCCACAGTTCACTTACCTGCAATGAGCCATGGTTTAGCCCTATCGTTATATTCTGCAACTTAGCGTAGCAGATACATGCCTATCAACACTTAGCCCAAAGGTCCGTAGCGATGATACAAACGATATCGCAGCTCAGATATTATCGAATAGCATAGAGCTAGCGAGTAGAAATTAATATTGATGAACTATGCGCTGTTGACGTAGAGGTCTCTAGAAATCAAACGTGTGATATCTCCGCTCGACGAGGAGTCCACAGTTCGGTCATTCAAATTAGGATGATCCGGAAAGCTGGAGCTCTCATGATTCAATATACGAATAGATTCCGGATGAATCCTAAACGACACCCGAGCTGATCCGGTTATCCAAGTAAATTGAGGTGTATCGCTTTGGTAGATACCATGATCCTACGCGGCTCCACACCATTAGATTGCACAACGTGCTAAATAGTCATAGACTTAAGCGACACAAGTAATCAAACACACAGTCGTTAAATTTGACGAGAGGATAGAGGCAACTACTACTCGGCAAATTAGATTTCCCATGAAACAAAGAACATGAAAAGACTTACATGTGATCGTATTAGTAGGGTACAAGATTGATGGATAAGTTAATTTATTACTAGAGCGATTGCGTGTCAACCACGAAAACTAGTCATCTTCTTACGAGCCGAGTGATTGATTGAAACTACGTTCTAACGATTCAATGCAAAAATTAACTTTACACTACAAACCCCATCCTGAAGTTTGATTAGGCCAGTTCTACTCGTAGGCCACTTTGCTGAGATACGCCTCTTCCCGCAAATGCGAAAACTCGTCAAGTGAAAATTCCAACACAAAATGACATGGAATCGACCCGGAAACTCATGGCTATCTTGAGGAAAATTTCGTTGCCAATGTTGGTTCAAAAGGGAGGTTCAACTCGATTGTACCCAGCATACCCTAGGTCTGCGGAAGTTGGGTGTCCCTGCTTTTCTGCATGTCGTTCTCGAAGGTAACTAGACGATGGGCCCAAACGCTATTTAACATAGTCTGACTCTCAAGTGGCTTAACTTTAATAGATACTGGAATTCGAAACATGTTTTTGCCACAGTTTTTGCCACAGTTTTTTAAACAGGTGGTCGGTCACGCTAGACTAACAGCAATTAGTTTTCGGATTGTTTGCTTGAAAGATGAGATCAATCATGCTGAGTTTTAGTGTGCAATCTAAGTCTATAATTATCTAGTAGATAGGGCCTCTCTCTCCCCGGTCACACCTTTTACTGTGCTTGCACCCCCTTCTATTACAAAAAGAGATCTCTATAATGCCTACGTTGAATGACCATCTAGCTCAGTAAATTCTCGCAGAATTTATCTTTTTACACGGAAACTTCTACATAACGACAAAGCCAAAGTTAGCAATCGAGGCTACGTGCGCGAGAGAATATCTCAATAAAACTGTAGTTCCAGCCTGTAGAAGCCTAGACACCGAGACCACATGGGGCACGTATATCCATCTGACTCTCCCTTCTTTTGTAATATTAGAGGCCAACTTGATCCAAACCACTATCGCAATATTGGGTGCTTGGGACGCTTCAGAGACTCATTGGATGGCTTCTCTTCCATGACCAAGAGAAATAAGTGGATGATAGTTGAGGCTACGATCCTATCATCTGATCTGATCGTGGTTAGCTTCAAGATGATGATGATGATGATGATGATGATAGGGGTTGTTCTGAGAGATGAATACGATACAGATCGTAAGACTATTTGGTAATCCACACAGAATTGAGGCCTGAGGTGTTTTCCATTCTTGGCTCTGCAGACTGCATAGTGAGAGCTAGAGTTTTGTAGAGGATACTGCTAACCCGCGTTGAGCTTTCTCCCCCCACATACATACAGTAAACTACAAGTAAATCCATCTCGGTATACTGTTGAGGTGTTAGTATTTCCAAGCTTTTGAATCGGGCTCCCCCTACGGCTCTCCACTTAGCTGCAGCGAGGATAATTATTTTTCAATAAAATATATATCCAGTTGTATAGTTATGATGATTCACGATATAAAAGTGGGTCACTGACTGTTTGAGAGTGACGAGCCCCAGTATGTAAACTAAACTTCAAGTGTAGCACTGAAATAAGTGCACATAATTATTAGTGAAATTTTGTAAAACCTTGAAAGAGCTTCAAGTAAATGTCACTTGAATCATCAAAATTTAAGAACGAGTCCAATAATGACTGATGGACTACTTCTGCTATAAATCAATCGTATCACTATAATACTGGATCATCCCACAATCCATAACCATGGGCATAATCACCAGTCAAATGTATCTGCAGGTAGATCGTACTTTCGATTTTGGACAAGAGCCAGATTTTTGCTTGCACGCGTTTGCCTGCATATTTGGTCAAAGTCCCCAATATTTGATTTATCTAGGCGAAATAATCTATAAAAAAGGTGCAAATCTAATGTAAAAGAAACATTGTAGAGGGACCCACTAATCTCGAGGGTATCTACTAATACTATTCTTCACCATACATACAATGTTTTAGCATTAGATATAACGAGATTTTTCAGACTTGATAGTTATCGTACAATAGACTCTGTGACTACTGATTCCTGCATTTTAATCCGTAAAGCAGGCTTGGTCTCGAGAATTGGAGTCCTGGAAGATCAAGACACGCCGTCTAATGAAAAAGTGTAAGATATCCTAATCCGACAGATTATTATACACCTATACTCAATTTTTGTGTATTTGATGGATTCATTCTAGGCAATTAAAATCCGCCTATTTCCAACTCTCTCGGAAAGGGCCACTTAGGAATGCTAAACATAAAGTTAGTGAAAGACCACAGGCAAAACTCCCATATAGCCACTACGGTGTGCACGGATAAAGGCTTTCATCATGATGATGGTTGTTGAACGATGGGGGCCTCAAAAGGAACAGATGTGTGGATAGGTCATTTATTGAGCTTAGCGTCGTAGAAATATAACCAGGTGAACTCTACATCACTAGAGAATAGTTGTGGAACTGAAGAGGTATTCAAGAGGTCCTCTTAGTAGATAAGTTGCGGGGTTTACTGGGGTTATTTGTTAAAAGTAGTCGAATTAGAAGCTTTATCAGCTCATAATGAGAAGATGATCTCGTTCAGCAAATTATACCGGTGGTGTTTTAAAATCAAAATAATTATCACTCTTGGGATGAGCTTGAATCAAAATGTCGTAACTGATTTTGCATGCTTAAATAAAATAGGTTCTCATGAGTGAAATACCCTGATGGCATTATTAGCAAGCCCGGTATACTGTTTTTGTTAAATTCTATGAAGCCTGTTCAACATTCCCCATGAAGTGGAATATATTTAGGAAAGCTAATTCACATATTTCATTACTAGCAAAGAATAGTCACTTAGGTAGCGAATTTTTATTTGAATGAGCTAGATTCGATCTATTGCACATATATTCTTTCTGCTTTCCCTAGGTGATGATTCCCTCATAAGTGGTCTACAGCTTGAGGCCTAAAATCGGGCTCAAGTTACCGAGTTATTCTTCGGACAGGTGTACCTAATTAATTAGAGTGCTTCTTCCCCTTATCGTATGAGATAGGAGTACCATTTTGAGACTAAGGCCTGAAGAGGTAACACAAGATCTTCTCATCTGAAGAGCTCGGTGGATTAGCTGATTCTCTCGTTGGCACCAACATTTCCAGGCACGTATTATCGGTACAGGTATATATGGGGTAGTTAATTGATAAAAGCTTTAATGTTATGCTCGTTGCAGATTCCCACGTCTATCTAACTTATTGATTGGACGTCAAGCCCTAATGTCAACAGCTAATAGATCAGGTGTTCAGCCAGATCAGTTAAGCCCGTGATTGTTTGAATTTTCCACCGTCTAGGTGGCTCGGGGCTGGATGCGAGGCCGTCATTATTTTGTTGTCATTAGGCTCTCTACATCTTATTGCTTGGAAATTTCGGATGATATCTGTATTTTGATTAGAGATTTATTTTGTAAGTATTTTTTATAAGCATCTAATCGTTGTAGCGACCCTTTACCCGCAGGACAGGCTCTCGAAGGGATATCATGGCTCCAGCTTTTTAGTGATTGTGCGTACATTTGAATGCCGAAATCTTCAAGGTCCACCAGCAAGACCAGTCTGCTCCAAGGTTGGTGAGCGGGGTTTTTTCTGAAGTTTCGCTGGAGTCTTTTTTTCTGTTGGTTTCTGATCACATTCTCTGTGCTCATTTGATTGTTCAGCTGCTTCGATAGGCATGCTAAGCTCAGCTGGTTTCCCAAAGGTGCCAGCGGGCAGGACCTCAAATCCAGGATTAACTTGGCGAGTGTTGGAGTTCATATGAAGATCAGTAGGGGTTGAGAGCGATGGAACTCGATCGCAAAAAGGTAATGTTAGATGAAATTGTAGGTCATCATGCTTTTGGAATTGCGACGGCTCAGAATGAAGTAGACGTGTACACTCCGCGGCAAAGGGTTCCCCGATGGACGTTATAGTTTCAGCGCTAGGATTTTGCGGGAGCGCCGGCGTGGTACTGATCCTTTGCAAACTGCCCCTAGATGGCTGTAGTGTGGGAGAGGGAGTAGAAAGCATACCAGACGCGGTCAGACTGCGGCGTTCATCAATTGTCGTCGGATCTTGAGAGAGAGAGGCATCAGACTCGTCTGACGTTCCAGAGTTACGTTCGCTATCTGCTGCGGAGGAGTCTGCGTCTATGTATACCCTGGGTGGTACTCGAATACGAGGACTTTGCATTTTCTTCTTTGAACTCAGCTTTTCGTCGTTCTGTTCAATCGTTTCTGGCTCGCTTTCGTGGCTATCAGCATATCGTAGATGTGACGAGTTTCGAGGCTTGTATGTTGTGCGAGCGACACTCCCCTCCGTAATATCTTGAAGAGTCTCGGGGAATCTTCGACCGCCATAGCTATCTGGTCGACCGAGGGACCGGACACGAAGCTTTGGCCGTAAGCGTGGTGGCGCCAGTGTACTGGGTGATAAGCGTTGGTCGCTTGAGCCGGATTCATCAGATGATTCATTTGGGATTGATACAAGATTTAATTCACTGGGGACCGGAGTATTTGGATTTGATATCCAGATTCCATCTACCTGAATACCACTTTGAATGGCTCTCACGCCAAAGGGTATTTCCGGTTTCCCTCGCGACTCAAGGCTACGACCACTAATTTTCAGTTCTCTGATTTTGGATCGTTTTTCTTCGTCGACGATCTCGTGTCTCTTTTCGCTTCTAACTTTCCATAACAGTTTAATCCATCCAAGTAAAAACACACAGGATATGCCTAGGCCCAGAACCTTGTTGTTTTTTGTTAGCAATGTTGCTCTTACGCAGAGTGAGGTTACTTACAAAAGTCATCTTTTGCCATAATTCCCACGACAGGAAAAACATGTCGCATTGGTTTAGTGAAGGATGAATAGAGTATATTGGGCAAGTCGATAATGAGAGGCAAAGCTTGATCACAGTTTGACCATCGGAGAGCTGGCTTAGAGTAACAGTAACGAGTGAGTTGTCAGATATTTGAATTGGTGTTTTTCAGGAGCTCAAGAGCGAGCAGTATTTTTCTTTCAATGGTACCTTTGGAGAATGATCGAGCCGCTATTAAAGTAGAACTGCAATGAAGAGCATAAGCTTTTGGTTTGATGTAATCATAAACAACATACCTGAGAAGGAGTGTCTACGAAAATCAACTTCACTGAGCAGATCCAATAATGTTTGCTGGGAAGGCGGTGATAAGCTTCTTTCGGCGTACTTCTTGAAAATATTTCGGAGTACGACTCGAACTAGCTGCAGTAACAGAGTGCTTCAATGCAATGATATGATATGAAACAAGAGATCGGTACATTCACTGCAAGCGGCATGTAATTTTCTGACCAGTAGTGATGTTAATTTTAGCGCCGAAAGTTTTAATACGGTTGTTAAGTCGTGCCGCGTTTGATGAAAGATAGCCGCCTCGTCCGGAGCGAGGGCAGTCAGTCAGAGGAGGATGGAAGTGACAAAAAAGGATAAAAAGGAGAGTGCGAGGTTAAGAAGGTTGATTGAATTTACTGAAGTGGTGGGTCGTAGTAGCTTTCTCCGTGCAAGCAATGCAGAGCGGATGGGACAGGGTGAGACGGATAAACAGTGCACAAACAGAACTAGAGCCAACTGTAAGCAACAACAATAAGGTAAGGGGGAAAAGTGACAAACGTTAAAGGGGAAGGGAGCAGTGTAGAAAAATTGCTGGCAATAACGAGGGTTCAAAAGTTAGAGAGCGTGAATATTATAATGGTCATAGTTGGACCCGATGCTTTGGAAAGAGAACGTGAACAGCAAATATTTTCTGTTGGATAGAAGAACCTGGTCATGGCGCTGCTTTCCCTTGTTCAACCCATGCCCCCTTCCATGATTCCTCCATGAACCCCATCCTCGTCCCCCTCATCCACTCCTCCCCAGGCTGCCGTAGTTGGACAAAGGCTGCTGCATGGGGGCATATTATCTCCACAACTTCATCACCTTCGCATAAGGCAGCTCATGTGTGATTGGGTTCCTCTGCACAACATTCTACCCATCGATACGTTAACTACTTATGTGCAAGCATACACAAATACGATTTTAAAGGGCTTGAGACAGTGAGGGTGCGAACAGACGCAAAAGATCAGACGAACAAGGACTGTGAGACATGTTCCGACACGAACGAATCGGACACGGACGGTGATAAATGAAGTATTTATCACGATGGTAATGTTCGGGTTAACTGTGCTTGCCATGGAGCTGAACACCGTTGATTGGCAAGAGCGTTTATCCGTACGTGAATAAGTCTAAGAGCGGGAAACGCGTGCAGACCATTTCTCGAGAATACGTCAGAGACTGGTTCGACTTGAATGCTTGGACTGGTCGGATAAGCCACCTCATCTCTCTGCGCCACTATGTATCTTTTTAGGACGCGCTTGAAGCTTCATGCCTTCCGCACTAAAGTTTATACTTCGACTTAGGACAATGACTGGGTCCGCACCGCATACAGCCGCAAACGCCGAAGATGGTTAAATCATCGGGTTTATCCCGTAGTCCGTCACACACGTACCCCTACCCCATGGCAGCTGGGCGAGATGTTTAAAGCTTGAATAGCATGTAAGCGGGATTTCCCTGGGACATCTTTGGATCTCCATGAATGGCGCGTGGCTAATAAGGAATAGGAAATTAAGCAGGTGGATCACTGTCATACTTTTGACTTTTGTACTGACCTGACGGCCATGTGCGTCTATATATTTATTTGTGATCATTATCCCTACCATAGTGGCAATTGTAAATTCTGCATTGTTTTGATTTCTCCTGAAAATTATTTCATTACATCGACCACATGTAGGTCAAGCACTTTTTTGACAGCCAGATGAGTTGTTCTGTATTCAAATAGAAGATTTACACGTCTTGTAATGTATGCCTTGCAGTAACCCGCCAATGCAGTGTTGCCGGAGAAATGAAGTCAATGAATGTGCAAGTAATTTACTCCATGAATACCATCCTTTTGATCAAATGCGTTCTAATGCCCTAAAAACATATGACCATAACCACAAGGAATGTAAGGTCTGATCCCTTGACCAGCAAACACCCAACATAGTGAGATCCTCGCAACAGACGAAACGACGGACTGAAACACGAAACACAGTACCCATTTATCCCAACCAGATGAGAACTAGGAAAGCTTTAGATCCGCCAATTTGACATAATTAGAAGAGGATTGGTGGTAAATCAGTTGCATTGGCAAAGAAGGTTGGACGAAATAGCATAACTCAGCATGCGCAGTGCTGTGCAAACAAACTGAGCATGGTACAATTCATGTACGAAATTTCTGCGACGGTATTTTGTCTCCTTCTAACTGACGGGTTAAGGTTCTAGTCGGCTCCTTCATATCGCTGGTAAATCGAATGGGTTTCTGGTATTAATTTAAATATAGGATTCACTTCCGATGTAGAACTTTGATTAAACTCTGCTTTGTCCTATTTAGGGCCGTGCGAGCAAACGCTTGGCGCGGGTCGAGGAAGAGGAGACTCTGGGCAATGGGTAGAAGCGTCTAGACCCCACCTGCGGATCGATTGTGGAAATTTGAAAAGAGGAGTCCTCTAGCACTTCTAGGGATTCCGTTAATCACCTTGTACCTTAGCCATGCGCGCCTCTCCACCTCCCCTCCATCCACGGCCTCTAGTGCTCGGCATGAGTGCCGCATCTCTCCACGCATATTGTCGCTCACAACAGAGTGCAGGTAGCCCTCATGGAATGATGACGTGTGATTTTACTGCTTGAGCTGTTAATTGCATCAACTCGTTGGGGTGAGCTGTGGAATAGATCATCTGTCCAATAGCGGATTTGTGGGCGCTCATCTGGGGAAACATGACGATTGATCTGCCAGACTACCGGAGGAAGGATCTGGGAGAGGTTGTGTCAGTTAAAAAGGGCATACGTCCAACATGACTGTGATGACAAGAGCCGTGCTTCGAGCGTGGCTAAGAGAGGCGAGTAGTGTCAAGCCTGTCGCTGTGCTCGTCGAGCTCTACTCTCTTGCTACACGACCAAGAAGCTGGCTATTTTTTTTTTTTGCATCAGATTTTAATTGCGTATGCAGCTATCTAGCTATGACACAATATCAAAGAAAAGTACAGAATAGATGATTCAACGTAAAGGAAGAGCACTTATGCCTCAGATTTCATTTGCAAGTACTACTGAAGAAGCTGACTAGTGACTGAGCAAACAGACCACAGAATTTCTCACCATGGTCTTCTGGGCCACCAGAGCTGCCGAAGCTTCCTCGGAGACGAGATATTGGACATTTAACGGCAGAGAATGGCTAGTTTGCTGCGGTCCGAGTAGCTGCTGAGACACTTTCCTCGCTAGTAAGATGCACTCGTTCCACGAGACGTTACTGAGAAGTGACTTTCGACAAACCGTTGAACGAAGCTGTTGGCGAATCGTGTATTCCTGTATATGTCTAACTTCTTCTCACGTGACTATCCTTAGCTGAGCCATGGCGACAGCTGTAAATCGAATCAGGCCAGGCCAGCTCTATTCATTCGACGCGTCGACGGCACCGGCTGTCTTGCGACATACTTACATTCGTCCCTTCCGCCCCACAATATAGCAATTAGGCGGGGAACGACGCAATGGAGCTGGGATAAATGGAATGCCCCCCTTACTTAGCCGCAGCAAGGCGGTGGGGAGGGGCCTAGGTCACGCAAAAATGGAAGGTTTCAATCATTTCCGGCCCTTCTTGTCGCCGCTAATAGTTTTCTTCAATATCTCTCCTTTCCTTTCACTCCTAACATCGTAGACGGGAGGCGAACAAAAACTGTTCGACGAAAGGGCGACTAATCAGCAGGGCTTAAACTCATCGCTCAAATCCGCCGCTGCGGTTGTTCCTAATCAATGCTAGGTGCGTAGAGACTGTGAGCGTCGATCATTTTGCTTTCTTTTCATGGGTGAATGCAATGAATTGGAGAGAATTGAAACAAATACGCAAGCCACAAGCAGCAAGAGGGTCCAAATAGCTCGCCGCGCACGCTTCAATGAAGGAGACAGACCTTTAGGCCTAGCAGTATGCACGATGAGCCTAGCACACGAACTGTAGCTACGCCAACGACGCAGCTGCATCCCGATCGATCGCACCAACTGTAAACATTTTTATGCAACTTGTCACTGCCAAACCGACAGAATTGTTGAATTCTAATTCTCTTCACTCTTGTGTATCCTGAGAGTGGCACGATGGATCATATAAATAAATTATTCAATTGTCCTAATTTGGTGGCTTGAGGCCCATGTAGGTTTTATCGGAAGATATGTAATTTAATCAGGATGACTCAACTTGACATTTAGAACACTCACTCAGATTTTATTTGCAGATACTACTCGACGTTAACCCTTACGGCGTGTAAACTCTTTCGTGCATACCCACCACACGGAAAAGCGTGAAAACCCTATGTTAATCCAAGTGTGCCTCCATCACCCCACAGATGCAATATCACCGCAAGAGAGTGTAGTGTGTGGGTTTTACTGGATTCGAACCAGCTTTCTCCTATCTCAAATGGGGTAGGTATTCGAGCTACCTAAAATCTACTTGGGAGAACGGGCTGAATGGTGTACCACTGAACCATCCAACTCTACACGGATCATATAGCTAGCTAAATTTAGTCCACTAGAACGAATACAGTTGGTGGGTAGATGTCGGCGCATGGATCGACGAGGGAGCCTCGTTATGCCCACATCAAAAGGTTAGTAGCAGCAACTCAGTGCCAGGATGGAGTGCGGACTCCTGAGGCAAGGAAGCTGCTTTGACTTTTGACCTGAACATCCGCACGGTGAAGGCGGGAGCTTCCCGTGCGGCCACGCTACAGGCTCTCCCCTTGAATCCCATATGCACAGTT